CAAGTTCGGGCACATTGTGGGGTAGGGTGGGCCTTCCAGGTGCCAGCACCTCAGCAGAGCAGGGCAGGGCCCAGCAGGCACGGCATGTTGACAAGAAGCTAGTGAGGTGCAGCTTAAGAGCAAGTAGTCCCCGTAAAAGAAAGATGGTGGGACTCCATACACTGTTTCCCATAACTGAGATCTTTCTTACTTACCCTTGCTTTCAGTGAACTTTTTAAGAATTTATCTTTATTGTTGAAAGTATTACAGGTGTCCCCCTTTACTCCCCGCTTTGATTCCAGCCCCCTGCATGCACCACCCTCCTGAGGCCTTCCCCACGCTATTGTCTGTGTCTAAACTTTTTAATAGGATATTAGATCAGAAGATTCATGCCTTTCAGACAATATTAAATGTTTTATTTGCTGGCTCAGACCAAAACAAATCAAATCCAGACTGAATAAAGATCTAAACATAAAAATACTAACTATAAAAGTCTTAGAAGACCTTCCTGATCAAACAGGAAGCTTAGAGGCAGTATTCGGTGACATAAAATTTTATATTTTCTATAGAGAAACTCATAGCAAAGTTTAAAGATGTGAAGACTAGGAGGAAATATTTGCACCACATGTAAGACAAAGATTTATAGCCATAAATAAGTAAAGACTGCGTACAAATAAATGGGAAAGAAATAAATGGGAAAACTATAGATAAACTAATGTGATTATGAAAAAGATAAACTACAAATAACCATAGGGAAAGATCTAAAATTACTAGTAATTGGGGGTTCGATTCCTGGTCAGGGCTCATGCCCAGGTTGTGGGCTCGATCCCCAGCAGGGGGTGTGCAGGAGGCAGCCGATCAAGGACTCTTTCTCATCATTGATGTTTCTATCTCTCTCTCCCTCTCCTTTCTTTTCTCTGAAATCAATAAAAATATAATTTAAGAAACAATTACTAGTAATTGGGGAAATATAAATTAAAACAAAATACATATTCTTGCCCATCAGATTAGGACAAATGAAAAGGGTGAGTGTTCGGTATTAATGAAGATGTGGAGGAGCATGCTTTCTCCTTGGCAAGGGCCCTCATATAAAGCAGGGTCTCAGTAGCCATCAGCATTTAAAAGGATGAATCCTTTACCCAGAAATTTCAATTCTATGAATCTTTCCTATAGGGATACTTACAAATGTGGGTCAACACACACATTGATACTCACACACATACATATACATGCACACACAATCTTTTGGTCATAATAGAAAAAAAGAAGAAAAAACCCACCTAAACATCCACCACTTGGAAAATATAAGTTCTAGTATATTTGTATTCCTGAATAGATAGCCACCATAAAGAATGAGGTTGTTGTTTATATACTTTTGTTTAAAATATCTGTGATGTATTAAGTGAAAAAAACTAGAACAATACATTTGTACAATGATTCCATTCATTAATAAGAAGAAAGCCCTTATTCAATAGGCAAATACACAAATACACACAATGGGTGAACTGTGCTCCCCACCCCCAGGACAGCATGGCCCATAAAGGGGAACTTTTACATTATACGCTATTTCCTTCTATATTGTTTAAATTTTAAAGGTCATTTTGAAACTAAAAATCCTTTTCAGGCGGAACCCAAATAAACCCAAATATGTCCATAGGATTATGAAAATGTAATTGGATTCCTCTGCTATAAATGGTTATCTGCGTAGCTTTCCATATTCAGGAGTAGATGACCTAGGAAGACAATTCTGAGTGATGAATTAGCCCATGAAGACCTTGTGTGGGATCCCTCCCTGTAGTTACCACTTTCCTCTCTTCCCATGGCTATAAAGCAATGAAGTTTTCAAAAACATTTGTCAATTTCAGGGCATGATTTAACCTGAAAGGCAATTTATGAACACTCTGCTATTCATCCACAAAATAAAAATAAAGGTTGGAGAAACAATGCACTTTTTCGAGTTCAGTCTTATTTTTAATCCTCACCTGAGGATATATTTTTTTCAAATTGATTTTAGAGAGAGGAAGATAGGGAGAGAGAGAGAGAGAGAAGCATTTATTGATTGCCTCCCCACACGCTCCCCGACCAGGGATCTAACCCACAACCTAGGTATGCGTCCTCACAGGGAATCAAACCTGCTTTGGGTGTACAGGACAATGCTCCAACCAGCTGAGCCACCCGGCCAGGGCTGGGTTCAGTCTTCATTGCTACATTGACCACTTTTGACCTAAGCAGAACTAACTCCCTGCTTAGGTCAGTGACTGCTCATCACTAGGGTGATAGTCCTGGGGTTGGTGGCTCATCCCTCTGCACAGATCCCCACAGCTCCGCTGAGTTGCACTCCTTGTGTTCTTTGGCCAATGCAGGCCTCAGTCCTGTCAGCAGTAGCTGTCCTCGCAGGGAGCACACCTGTGCAGGTGGAGACATGCATCCCAGAAGAGAGGTCTTGGCCTCAACATGTGTGCTCCAGAGTCATTCATTGATCCCCCTCTTAGTGATGAAGTCACTTAACTACCCGCCAGGCACTTCCCCATGCCTGATACCAAAAATATAAAATAAATCGAAGTAGGTTTCTGATCATAGTTTTGTGTGAGAGACAGTCAACATCACATGCCATAGTGGCCAGGGAGGCTTCACACAGGTGCCATGTGACATGGGCACCAATAGACACAGGATGTCCTGGACATGGGAATGCTATGTGCAAAGGTAGAATCATGAAGACAGTGTTTTTGGGTTAATAAGCATGTCACACGTTCCACAGCCTGTGAGGATAAATGAAGTCACATTTACATCTGTACCCCAGATGCAAAGGTTCCTGGACTATTCCCTCTGATTGGGAGAACTTTCTGTCTTTTCCAGGAGGCTCCCATCATGAAGATTTCTGATAGTCCCTGGGAGGGGTTGAGTGTACATAGATTTGGCGGCTCCCTGGGGGCTTCCTCCCCATAGGAAATAGATGTTCAAGCCCTTAAGGATGAACTGGGCACCAAAGCCCTCTGGAGACCTTGCCCAATCAGCTCTTAGACCTCAGGGGTATCCAGAGCAGTGACACTAGGAAGGGAAGGTGGGGAGCCCAGCACCTGGGTCTTGCTGACTGCCAGTCTCTAGAGCTGCTCAGGGCATTGGTGCCTGAGCCTCCTCAGTCAGCTGTGCCCACTGGGATCTGCCATTTTACTGCTGGCTAGAGGTGTGCCCAGAGAACCTACCTGGCCTCAACTGTTCACCATATGGGGCTCAGCAGTTCAGTTCCCTCACACTCAGCTCTCCATTCTCCAAGGCGCACCTCTGGACCAGCGCCCCTCCAGGCCCAGTGCCCAGTGCCGTCCAGCCAGGTCCAGAAGGCACTATGTAAATCTTTGTCCCTCAGGTATGTGGGGGCCAAGGACAGGAGTGGAGGACAGTGCTGCAGGACAGGACATGGTGGAGTTCAGGAAGACCCTCCATCTACCCCCATTCCAGCCCCTGCCCCTCTTTTCCCAGGGTGTGGATGGTGGAGGCACGTAGCTGCAGATACTGGAGGGAGGGTGCTACCCAGTCCCCTTTTATCTCATCCCAAGTGTGAGCCCATAATGCTTCCCCACTGGCCAGCAGCCTGAGTCCTGCTGCAGCAAGGGGGTGTGCATTATGTGTACGTGTACACGTGTGCATGTATGTATGTGAGTCCACACGTGTTTTTGTGTGCATGTGCATGCGTGCATGCATTTACGTGTATCTCTGTGTGCCTTTGTATGTGTGTATGAGTGTGCATGCATGTGTATTGCAAGTTTGATGTAGTAGCACAATTAAGAGAGCTCTCCCCTCTTTCTGTTGCCCTTCATTATAGCTGACATCTCCCCACCTCACAGCAAAAGTTGTGCGCTGTTCTCCTTGCCATCTTCCTGAGCCTCTCATCTTTAACTTGATGCCCCTGCTTAGACAATCACTTCCTTTTAGTGTGTGGAGACTCAGGGGAAAACAGGGAGCCAGCACTCGGCAGAGCCATGAGCTGGAAACCAGAAAGCAGAAAGTCTGGGTTCTAGAGCTGACCTTGAACAGAGCCTCTGCTTCCTCCCTGCAAAACTGAAGAGCTTGCATCACCTACCTCTCTAATTGCCAACTCAATGTGCTGTTATTCTAGAAGTTGCTCCATGTGTGTGAAGCTTGTGTTAATGGAATTTAGAAGATCTTTTTAATGACTGTGTCAGGAACCCAGTGGTGACCTGACTGCTCATAAAACATGGTGCCCGCAGAGTTGGACACAGTGGAGATGTATTTTCTAAATTACTTCCAAAGGCGGGGGCTTTGAGGAAAGAAGGCTGGATTATTTTATGAACATATATTTTCTCTTCAGTGTACTGTGTGGGTCCTGTGTGGATGTGGTTTGGGAAAGTTGACTCAACCATAAAGATGGATGTAACTTTCCTAGAGAGATTACATGGGGAGAAACAGCCTCAGTTTTGAGAGACTTTCTTAACTCCCCTAAGGGAGTTAAGAAACATCTGGCAAGAGCAGAGTTTAGGTAATAGAAAGCACTGAGCTTTTCAAACCAGAGAGATGGCCCTTAAGGGCTTGCCCACGTAGTAGGAAGGGGCAGCCCGCAGCAGCCAGCCTGTGGCATGCACACTGGGCTGGTCTTCGAGTTTCCTGTGTGAAATGTGTCAGTTAGAGCACAGTACTTCTAGAGGGCTTGTAGGGCCAATGGAGTGCATTTTCCTGAGGTTCTTCTCATTATAAAATTGCAGAGGCAGGTTTGTGTGAGCACCAAGGTTAGGCTGAGCCCCAGAGACTGGAGACTGAGCCCCACGCCTGGGTCTCCCTTTACTTAAATGTTATTGGAATGTCAGAGTCTGGCAGTGGCCTTGGGCAGCAGGCCTGGGGAGAAATAGTTTCTTTCTCATGAGGTTCTTGTGAGGACCAGATTCATGGAAAATTCAAAATGTTTGTGGTTGGCATGGTCAGAGTGCCTTGAGGAGATGGGGCCTGGAGAGCTGAGTGGGTGGTATGCAAAGGGCATGTGGTTAACATGGTTTCCTCTTCCTTCGCAGCGGAGCTGGAGTTCGCCCAGATCATCATCATCATTGTGGTGGTCACGGTGATGGTCGTGGTCATTGTCTGTCTGCTGAATCACTACAAAGTGTCCACACGGTCTTTTATCAACCGCCCAAGCCAGAGCAGGAGGCAAGAGGACAGGCTGCAGCAGGTGAGTGTGGGCCTCGGCCTCTTCGGTGCTGCCCAGGCCTCTGGCCCAGGCCCCAGGAGTGCGGCGGGGTGCCTGTGGGGGCCGCGAAGCAGGACAGCCTCTCGTGTCAGCCCACTGCAGTCCCCAAGTGTTGAGAACTCTCTGTTGAAGGTTAATGTACTTATGGGAAAGCATGTGCATCTCGAATGTTCAGCTCAGTGAATTCTCACAAACTAAACACACCTGTGTAACCAGCACCCAAGCAGCAAAGAGACATGACCAGCCCCCAGAGACATGCTCGGGCCCCACTCCCAGGCATGCCCCCGAGATCACCGCTGCCAGAGGGCTTTCAGCACAGATTAGTTTCACCTGCTTTTGAACTTTATAACAATAGATGGATACAATAGGTGCTCTTTGGTGTCTGCCTTCTTTCACTGGCATTGCCCCTGTGAGATCCACCCTTGCTGTTATGGAGAGGCCTGTTCTTGAATGCACTTTTAAGTGCATTTGTAAGATTCCGAGGAGGTTCAGTTTCACAAACTCAAGATGTATTTTTATACAGTGACCAAGACAGTTCAGGCCCAGACTGTAGCTCCATTTCATGACTGGGACCATTAGCCTAGTTTATAGTCGAAAGAGGAAAAGAGAGAGGGAGAGGAAAAAACTCGACTTCTCTCCTGGCACAGATAGAAATCTCGGTGCACTATGTGTGCTGCCACTCGTTGATGGGCAGTCCTTTTGCCCAGGAATGTGCTTCCTCACCAAACTTCTTGCCTCCCAATTACCTGCTTAGCCTCCCTAGAACTTCTTCTAAGAAATGTCAGTTCTTTAATACAGCACTGGGAGAGCCATCTGATTCATTCAGACTCATGGCTCCCAGCCTGGGGTGATTTTGCCCTTTAGGGGACATTTGACAATTTCAGGGGACCTGTTTTGGTCAACTCAACTTGGGGAGTTGCTACAGGGATACTCTAAACATCTTGCAATGCACAGGGCAGCCCCACAGCAAAAAATGACCTGACCCCAAATGTCAGTAGTGCTAGAGTGGGGACCCCCTGATCTTACCAGGTGCTAAATGCCACCCTTCCCGGAGGCACTGTGCTGTTAGAAGAGGGTGCCTGTTAATATAAGTGGATCTCTCCCGGCTTCCACAGAGTGGAGAGAACACATCCCAGCAGCTCGGCTGAAAATGTTGGGGTCCACAGAGAAATTGCTGGTTCAGAGGATCCTAGTCTAGGACTCTGCCTTGGGAATAGTTTCCCCCCAGCGATTTCTGCCTCCTTTGTTTATTCAACCATTCACTGGACATGAGCCACGCACTGTGCAAGATATTAAAGAAACAATGCAATGTGTCCTTGCCACGCTCTGCCCCTGCCCTGCCCCCACCACCGTCAGCAGTATCCACTAGGCTGATGCTAATTGGCATTTTCTCAGTCTTACTAGGGAAGACCAGGGGTCTTCAGTGGCCGCGTGTGTGTGTCTGTGTGGGGGTGTATATCAAGTGGATGTGAACTGTGGGAGGGATTGGGGATGGGGCATAAGGACTCAGCATGGGCACTTTAAAGCTGCCCTCCCAGGAAGGTGGCTCTCGCCCAGCATCCCAAGGTGACTGCCTGTGCCAGGCAGCCTCTTCCCCTAAGCGGCTTAAAAGGAGCTAGGCAGGGGCTTGGCTGGACAGTGGCAGCGTGGTGGGCAAGGCCCTGCCCTTGTTGATAAAGCGTGTCAGTGACGGCCTGGACTCTGTGCAGATTTGTTTTCCTTGGTGAGGACGGATGTGCGTTTGCCGCTGCTGCTGTGCATGTGGTTTCATGTCTGTTGTCAAAGCCCGAGTGCTCCTGAAGTGCCTTTCACTTTGTCAGCATCTAAATCCTGCCTTCCCAGGAGGCTGAGTGGCAGGGGCTGCGGCGCCCAGCTAGTTGGCAGCATGTGGGTGTGGGTTCCCACTGCCGGCCTCCCCGTGGGTGAGCCTGTGCATTGTTGGGACCCACTTACTTCTGGGGGGCCTTTTGGCCCATTTGTTCTAGAACCATTTGAGGTCTCCGTAAGCATGTTTGTAAAAGGTATATTTATTTTAGACTGGTGTGCAAAGGGCTGGGCATCTAACTTACCAACTTCTGGGTAATTTGGTTTAGCACTGTTGGTTAAATTTATTTTTATATATTTCTGCTGGAAGACTTGATAGGATGGAAAGGTAAAGGACAATAGTTGGGGTTTTTTGTGTGTGTTTTGTGTTTTTGAGAAGGGGGCTTGCTGAGCATTTACATGTTGTGGTTTGGTTGAGTAAACTTCACTACCCTGGTTGAACTGCCCCTCTCCTCACTAAAGGGCTTTCCACCTAAACCAAAAGCAAGACTGGGGTTAATAAGATAAGGTCTTAGTATTTCTAAATATCCCTGGTTTTCACAGAGTCTTCTGGAAAATGGTGGGTTGAGCCAGTTGCCCAGGCTTGTCCTGACCCCGGAAGGTTTCCTTTGTACCCACTTCCCCTTTATTACGCCCCACCTTCGTCACCTAGCAGCACCATCGCTCCTAGCTTCTTCCTCTGCTCGCTCCAGCAGTGCCTGTTGGAAGGACACACTTTCTGTGCCAGGTCCCCGCTGACCAAGGGAGGCATAGATGGCGTTTGCACTGGCCGAGGCCTGCCAGCTCTCATCTCCGCGTGTCTCTGAGGTGCTGCCTCAGGGGAGGTAGGGGCTGGGCCAGTGTTGGCTCTGGGTTTAGTGGAAGTAGCCATTTCTGAATGAAAATGAAGCTGCAGAAAAAGGGAATGCTTTAAATAATGGCACAGAGCCCGGCCGGGCGTGGCTCAGCGGCTGAGTGTCGACCTAGGATCCAGGCGATCGGGGTTCGATTCCCGGTCAGGGCACATGCCCGGGTTGCGGGCTCGATCAATGACTCTCTCATCATGGATGTTTCTCTCTCTCTCTCCCTCTCCTTTCCTCTCTCTGAAATCAATAAAGATATAGTAAAAAATAAATAAATAATGGCAGAGAGCAGCCAGTGGGCTTGTGGTAGAAACCCCCCCTGCTCTTTCTGAGGCAGCCCAGGCTTATTTTCCAGAGCCTGGCTTGTGTGACTTCAGAGCTTTGAGACGATCTAGATTTCTTTTCATTCCCTCAGACTGCCAAGTAATAAGAAAACAATACAGGGGCGTAAATAATCCAGACACTCCCCTGAGAGAGGTTTGCACGAGCCTTCCTTGCCACAGCTGGCAGAGGCCCAAGCGGCCTTTCTGACACCCTGTAGCCCAGCCTGGCAGGGCCGGCTCACCCCTGGACAGCCCAGGGTGTGGTGGATAACAGCAAGGCCAAGGTGGCCAGCCGTTCGCTGAGGAGCCGCAGAGAAACACGAACATTTTACTTAGTTTGAGCCATGTGAAACTGTGGATATCAGCCATTTTGACCTATAAAAACAGCAATTTCAATTAAAAATTGACAAAAGGAGTCACATCAGGCATTTCTTCATTACCAGCTGCTGCAAGGATTAAATCATTTGTGCAAGTATGGGTGCCTGGGCCTCCCTTTGGGGACAGAGCAGCGTCAGGCAGGGACTCTGGGCAGCCTGTGCTGCACCAGCTCCGGGGGGGTGCAGGGAAGGGGTCATTTGTTCTTCCTCCCAGCTGTTGGGAAGGAGGGTGAGGACTGCGGCCTCCAGCTTGTTGGTACAGAAACTTGGGTTCCTAGGACCCACAGTGCCCTTGTATGGGCGAAGTCTACACCTGGAGATGCACTCCACAGAAGTCATAGATTTGGCCTGGGGTTTGGCCAGTGTGTGGTTTGCCCCACATGGTGTTTTGACAAAACTTGATTTAACTTGTAAAAATGAGATTTCATATAAATATTGGCAGCTACATCTTTTCTTGAACAGTTAGCATATCAGGCTACACGGGCCTCTGGGGCTTCAAAGCAACTGCCACTCATGATAGGCTGGTGCCCACCTTTCAGCTGGGGTCCCATCTCTCTGTGTAGACTGTTTTTAGAGAAAATATTCTTCCGTACTCACGCCTTTACCACAAGGGTAAAAATAAAAGGTNTGGCAGAGAGCAGCCAGTGGGCTTGTGGTAGAAACCCCCCCTGCTCTTTCTGAGGCAGCCCAGGCTTATTTTCCAGAGCCTGGCTTGTGTGACTTCAGAGCTTTGAGACGATCTAGATTTCTTTTCATTCCCTTAGACTGCCAAGTAATAAGAAAACAATACAGGGGCGTAAATAATCCAGACACTCCCCTGAGAGAGGTTTGCACGAGCCTTCCTTGCCACAGCTGGCAGAGGCCCAAGCGGCCTTTCTGACACCCTGTAGCCCAGCCTGGCAGGGCCGGCTCACCCCTGGACAGCCCAGGGTGTGGTGGATAACAGCAAGGCCAAGGTGGCCAGCCGTTCGCTGAGGAGCCGCAGAGAAACACGAACATTTTACTTAGTTTGAGCCATGTGAAACTGTGGATATCAGCCATTTTGACCTATAAAAACAGCAATTTCAATTAAAAATTGACAAAAGGAGTCACATCAGGCATTTCTTCATTACCAGCTGCTGCAAGGATTAAATCATTTGTGCAAGTATGGGTGCCTGGGCCTCCCTTTGGGGACAGAGCAGCGTCAGGCAGGGACTCTGGGCAGCCTGTGCTGCACCAGCTCCGGGGGGGTGCAGGGAAGGGGTCATTTGTTCTTCCTCCCAGCTGTTGGGAAGGAGGGTGAGGACTGCAGCCTCCAGCTTGTTGGTACAGAAACTTGGGTTCCTAGGACCCACAGTGCCCTTGTATGGGCGAAGTCTACACCTGGAGATGCACTCCACAGAAGTCATAGATTTGGCCTGGGGTTTGGCCAGTGTGTGGTTTGCCCCACATGGTGTTTTGACAAAACTTGATTTAACTTGTAAAAATGAGATTTCATATAAATATTGGCAGCTACATCTTTTCTTGAACAGTTAGCATATCAGGCTACACGGGCCTCTGGGGCTTCAAAGCAACTGCCACTCATGATAGGCTGGTGCCCACCTTTCAGCTGGGGTCCCATCTCTCTGTGTAGACTG